CTGAACACGCAGCACTCAGGGAGATGGGAACAACGGCCACTGGCCGCAAAAGGCATGGATTTTTTTTGCCGCCGGGAAATTCGAGGCATTATCAAGTGCAAAAAACTAAGCGGAGCACATGCCTTTCAAGCAACTTTTTTCAAATCATCATTAGTCGCATCATGCAGCCTTACATTGTATTATAAATCAAAACATATAGCCCAACGTTTTCAGAACAACTAAAGTTACATTAATAACTCTAAATTAAGCATATACACTTAAGAGCATATACACTTTAAGAAGGCACACCTGTTAATTGAAATGCATTCCAGGTGACTACCTCATGAAGCTGGTTGAGAGAATGCCAAGAGTGTGCAAAGCTGTCATCAAGGCAAAGGGTGGCTATTTGAATACTACTCAAATATAAAATATATTTTGATTTGTTGAACACTTCTTTGGTTACTACATGATTCCATATGTGTTATTTCATAGTTTTGATGTCTTCACTATTATTCTACAATGTAGAAAATAGTAAAAATAAAGAAAAACCCTTGAATGAGTAGGTGTTCTAAAACTTTTGACCGGTAGTGTAGTAGGACCTATTTCTTTGTTAACCGCTCAACACAGAATTGCTGCATGTGCGCACTCCCTCAAATCGTTTGGAGAAAATATCCTTTCTATTTTATTCAGCTTTGTTTAATTGTGTTCTTCATACTATAAAATGCCATGGAGTTCTAACCAAATCTTGTCTGCTAAATTAACTAGTGTAGCCCACAGCCATATGGCATAGCCAGATCAGGACCTAACATAAGGACAACTCAGAGTATGCTATTCTGTTCTTCTGAAATAGACTACATTTTCTTCATATCATGTTTCTTTAGACCTGTCTAAAATAAATAGATTTATTGTGAAGGTATAGGCTGTATTACATGGATTTATTAGACTTTTCTAAATGTATATGTTCCAAAGGTCTGCATCAGTGGCTTGTAGGCTATGTGTGGAAGCCAGGAGATGCTAAATGTGTTTATGTTAATGAACAGTCAATTACCGTGAGGCCAACAGTTATTTGCTTGACAATCACCGGCTGACGAAATTGCGTGACCGCCACAGCCCTAGGGATGACCTTAATGTATGTCAAGTAGAGACACTATGGGCTCAAGTACATCTGCCTCACCAGGCACCCATATTGATAGGATGTGTGTACAGACCTCTTAGCTCAAAGGTGTCTTATCTGGATGACATATGCACTGGGTTTGACCATGCCACACATAGCAACAGAGATATATATTTATCTTGGGTGATTTTAATATAAATTGGAAGGATCAGAATAATTCAAATATAACTAAATGATTGAGATATGCTGAGAGCTGTGGTTTGAAACAAATGGTTAATGACACTACTAGATCATCAACCAAGTTGTCACCGTTCAGACACATGCATTGATCTGATATTCTGTAATATACCATTGCAATGCTTAAAGGCCAGATCAATGCCAGTGGGCTGGACAGACTATAATATTGTGACCATAACCATGAACACCATGGTTCCAAAGAAACCCCCAAGGATTGTGGTCAAGAGAAAATCTTTTATTTTATTTTTTATCATGAGCAATTTCAAAAGGATTTGGCTGCTGTACCCTGGGAGCTGATTTATCTAGATGATTTAAATCAAGCTACAGAATGTTTTATTGATTTGCTCACTTAAGTAATGGACCATCATGCCCCAGTAAGAAAGTGTACAGTTGGGGCTCGTCCAATATGGCAAAAGTCTGAAAAGCCAAATCTAAACTAGAAATTGATGAACAGAATTATAGAGCACTATGTAATTATGCAGTTAAATTAAATCGTAAGAAGAAAACATTATTTTACGAAAATGCTTTTATTGATTTGTAAAAATGATTTTTAAAAAGGTATGGAATACAGTTAAGGGCTTGGTACATCTATCTCATCATGCCCATCTAGTGTGGAGGTTGACATGAGAACAATAACAAAACCAGCTGATATTTCCAATCATTTTGCAGATTTTTTTTGCAAAGAAAACAAATTTACTGAGAGATAATGTAAAGACCCATTCTTCCAAACAAGCTATTGTCCAATGGATTGATGATCATATTATGAGTAAACAAACCTGCTCTTTTAGTCTACCATTGGTGTCAGTAGAGGTGGTGTTAAACCTATTGAAGTCAATATCCAATGGTAAATCTATAGGTTATGATCTTATGGACAATTTTTTACTTCACTGTGCTGCTCCCCAGATTGCAGCTCCACTGAAATACATACCACTGCATTGGTTGACATGACTGAACAGTGGCTCAATGCTATGGATAATGGCAGGTTTGTGGGTGTACTATTTTTAGATTTCAGCGCAGCATTTGATTTAGTGGATCATGAAATAATTGAATTGGGTACAGTCATATCTAACTGACAGGAAACAGTCCACCTATATCAATGGGTCGTTTTCTTCCCCTCATGCTTTGGTGTGTAGAATACCGCAGGGCAGCTGTCTTGGTCCACTTCTTATTCAGTATTCAGTTGGTACGAGACAGACATTCAGTCAATACTAGGAATAGATTGTCCACCATCTGTGTTATCCCGGCAGAAAAGAGAAATGGGCAAAATAACATTTCGATTCAGAGCAATGAAGAAATTGAATAATTTATCTTTAAATATACTAAATTGGAAGGTTGTGCAGGACTATGGTAGATGAAGGAACCAATCTATCTTTTCAGACTGTCAGAGTATTTATCTGGTCAATATATCAGTGTATTATGTCTGTTGTTTGTAACAGTGTGTTATATGTGAACATGTGATTGTATTATAAAATGTATTTTAATGTGTAAGGACTCTTGGAAGATTAGTCCAAATGAGGACTAAAAGAGATCTTATTAAAATAAAATAAAACACACACATACACATACATACACTCACACACACCACATGCACTCTCTCACACACACACACACCGTTTCTCCATGTTTATTAGTGTTGTGTTGTGTAGCTTGGATCTACAGGTACACACACTCACTCTGTGTCTCTGTCTCAGATTGTCATTGTCCAGTTTGGAGGAAAGCCCTTCTCCTGCACGGCTCTGAGCATCGACCAGTGGCTCTGGTGTGTCTTCATCGGAGTGGGAGAGCTGCTCTGGGGACAGGTAAGAGACACAAACAATCTCTGTGTGTGTGCGTGAGGCAGCTGGTACAGTAGGTGCCAGGGAACAGTTGCTACGCTGAGACGGGTTCTGGAACACAAAGCAGTTACTTTCCATGGTTACCATCACAACCGTCACCGTGGTAATAAGCGCTGGCGCACATGAAAGCAGCATGGCCCAGATTTGCCCACACCCCAGAGGACGAGAACCCAGCACAATTTTCCCTCTGCGACTATACACACACACACACATGTTCAAAGACACTCACACACACTTCTCCATCTGCATGAACTCACACACACACACACGTTCAAAGACGCGCTTATCACTTCGCACCTACACACTCACACACACATAAACACAAAATTCTACACTTGCCTACACACACACATACTCATACATACAGAGAAAGAGATCTCATACTGTCTATAGACAGGAGCCTGTACCCTCAAAGACAAGCTTCCCCACACAGACAGTTGTCTGAATTCAACTAGGAGGCGGAGAGAGAGATCGCTCTGTAAAACCAGGTAGAACAAGCTAGCTAGCGTCAGTCTCCCTGTATCCACCTATAATATTACATCTATGATGATGCCCTCCAGTGTGTGTGCGTATGTGCGTGAACATACATTTTTGTGTTTGTCTGTGTGTGGGAGTCTTTGAAAGCATAATCATTCAGAGGTGACTAAATGAATTTGAGTCATCATGACTTGTTACATAAGTGTACCGTGTTTGAAATGCAGACAAGAGAACATAACACAGCACCACATTACCTTAGTATCTATACCTCCACCCCAAGGAATGATACAGCAAGAACGTTTGACATCCTTCTACTGACACTGCAGTTTGTTTTAGGCTGCATCCCAAATGGCACCCTATTCCCTATGTCAGGGATCATCAACTAGATTAAACCGCGGGCTGATTTTCTTCTTGAGCGGATGGTCGGGGGGCCGGAAAATAATTTTAAAAAATGTGTAGACTGCAAATTAAGCGCAAGAAGCCCACACAGATATATTGTTTGACTAAAACATAATAATTTCAAATTGCTAACATTTGTATATGATCATGTATCTCTCTATTATGCGTGGGAATAATTGGGAACATATTTCTTAAATTAAAATCACCTGGAGCTGATTTCCTGGTATTTTTACAGTCTTTTATGTCCAACAATAAAAAAAGTTTTAAAAAACTACCAAATTTTATTTATTTATTTTTGCTCATAAAACTTCGGCGGCCAAATAAAACCACCCGCGGGCTGCCAGTTGGGGAACCCTACCCTATGTAATGCACTAGGGAATAGAGTACCATTTGGGATGTAGCCTCAGTCAGTTGGGTTCAGTCCAGGGGCATGATGGTGAGTCGTCTCTCTGCTAAACCAACCCATGTCTTAGAAACATTAACAGGTCTGGCAACCACTTAATTAAATAGAACCATTCAATATAAATAGTAATTGAAATGTATCTCTATGCTGACAACACCATAGAATTACAGTAATTTAATAAGTACTCTGTGGACAACCCTCTCTTCAGTCTGGGCCTGAGAAATGACCTTGCTTGCACTTAAGTGGTGTTATCACTGGGAGAACTAGAGGGCATGCTTTAAATTAATGAATTTCAGACCATTAATTTAATTATGAGTTACTGAACCGATATACACTGAGTATACAAAACATTAGGAATACACCTGTTAAATACACTTCAATCAGTGTAGATGAAGGGGAGGAGACAGGTTAAAAAATGATCTTTAAGCCTTGAGACAATTGAGACATGGATTGTGTATGTGTGCCATTCAGAGGGTGAATGGGCAAGACAACATATTTAAGTCCTTTAAACGGGTTATGGTAGTACGTGCCAGGCACAAAGGTTTGAGCGTGTCAAGAACTGCAACGCTGCTGGGTTTTTCACGCTCAACCGTTTCCTGTGTGTATCTGACACACCAGTGACATTCTGGACTCTGATATTAATATTGAGGGTTATCATATGTTCAGAGCTGACAGACAGGGTAGAGGTGGTGGAGTGGCCATTTTTATAAAAAAAACATATTTGTCTCTTTACTGAAATCTATTTCCCTTGCCCAAAAATTGGAGCTACTATCTTTAAGCTTTTGTCTGGCGAAAAATTTATCCATAACTGTTATAGGAGTCTACCGTCCTACCTCGGCATTCGAGGAGTTAACTAGTTTGTTACGAAATCAGAAGTTATTATCCTGGGTGACCTGAATTATGATTGGGAAATGCAGGCTTCAGACAATCTAAAAAAACATGTGTAATGATCTAAACCTAACCCAGCTGGTGACTAAGCCTACACGGTCCAACCCAAAAGCTCCTTCAAAGTCAACTCTGATTGATCTTATCTTAACGAATACACCAGAGAAATATGTTTCTACTGGTGTCTTCGCCCAAGACATTAGTGAGCATTAACAGTTGTTTGTGTTAGAGATGTGAGAATATAAAAATCTAAACCTTGTGTCATCACAAAGAGGAACTTTAAAAACTTCAGCTTTCTTACACAGTCTTTATTTTAGTGACCTTGATTGTGTTTTCCAGCTAAATTCTGGAAAACTGTCAAATCCCTGAAGGGTTCTACTTCCTCCTCTCTGCCACAACAAATTAATTCAGACACTGGCCTCCTTACGGAAAAAATTTCATCATTGATGCATTTAATCACCATTTTATTTCAGCGGGCTATCTCTTTGAAATAACTTCTAAGCCTATTCACAATGATATTGGGTTGGATGCTGATAGGGGAAACTTGCTGAATGATCAGAGAAATTATAGTCAAAGCTTTTCTTTTAGGCTATTTACAGAAAAATAAGTCCTGGATGCTTTGCTAGCAATAGACAACAAGAATTCCACAGGGGGCGACCAATTGGATCCTGGTCTGCTTAAGTGTAAAGCGCCCATCATTGTTGGCTCAATGACCCACATTTTTTTATTTAACATTGTTATCAGGAAATATTCCAAAAGTTTGGAAATCAGCTCTTGTGCTGCCACTCCATAAGGGCAGGGATAGTAGTGATCTTAATAATTATCCCCCCATTTCAAGGCTTCCTTGTCTAGCTAAGCTACTTGAATCCTTGGTAAATGTACAACTTTGCTCTTTTTTTTATCTGAGAAATGAATTTAGAATGTAAACCAATTAGGGTTTAGGCCTGGGCATAGCACTATTACAGCAACCACTTCAGTTGTTAATGATCTTGGCAATGCTTTAGACACTAAAATGAAATGTGCTGCTTTGTTTGTGGACCTGTCAAAAGCTTTTGATACTGTTGCTCATGCTATTTTATTGACTACGTTGTCCTCGATAGGCCTGAGCGCTGATGCCTGTTAATCTTTTCATGATTATCTTTGTGACAGAACTCAGGCCATCATGATTGATGGTGTTAAGTCTGAATTTCTTGAAGTGCATAAAGGTGTACCACAGGGGTTGATTTTAGGACCTGTTCTCTTCACTATTTATATAAACACCATTTGTCAATCTGTTTAAAATGGTAAACTTCATCTATATGCAGATGATACTATTATGTATGCTATTTCCCCGACTGTTGATCTGGCAGTGTCAAAACTACAGTCAGATGTTATAGCTATGCAGGAATCCCTTGCTGATTTAAAACTTGTGCTTAATGCGACCAAAAACTAAATTCATGTTGTTTTAAAACTCTCGTAAGAATTTATCAGATGAATTACATGTTCACTCATTAGATGGTTCTCCAATTGAACGTGTTCCCGCATATAAATACTTAGGCATTTGGATTGATATGGATTTGACATTTAACAAACATATGGATGAGCTGGTTAAGAAGCTAAGATTTTAAGTTGGCTTTTTCTACAAAAACAGATGGTACCTTTCTCTAAGCAGTAGGAAACAGATTATTCAGTCAACCTTTTTATCTATTCTTGATTATGGTGATACCATAGTGCCCTTCATTTTGTTACAGGTGACATTTTTGATACTCATCACTGTATCATGCATGGTTCAGTGTTGCTTGCCTCGAAGCAAGCGTAGAAGGAATTTAGCTTGTCTGGTAGGCCAGCGTAACTGAGCAGCTGGGTTTCCCTTTGTAATCCGTGATAGCCCTGCCCCATCCGATGAGCATCAGAGCCGGTGTAGTAGGATTCTATCTGAGTCCTGTGTTGACACTTTGCATGTTGGATGGCTCGTCGGAGGTCATAGTGGGATTTTTTATAAGCGTCCAGATTAGTGTTCCGCTCCTTGAAAGTGGCAGCTCTAGCCTTTAGCTCAGTGCGGATGCTTCCTGTAATCCATGGCTTCTGGTTGGGATATGTACGTACGGTCACTGTGTGGACGATATTGTCGATGAACTTATTAATGAAGCCGGTGACTGATGTGGTAAACTCCTCAATGCCATCGGATGAATCCCGGAACATATTGTACTCTTTGCTAGCGAAACAGTCCTGTAGCTTAGCATCCGCTTCATCAGACCACTTCCATATTGGGCGTGTCACTGGTACTTCCTGTTTGAGTTTTTGCTTGTAAGCTGGAATCAGGAGGATATTGTTATGGTCAGATTTGCCAAATGGAGGGCGAGGGAAAGCTTTGTATGCATTTCTGTGTGTGGAGTAAAGGTGATCAAGAGTTTTTTTCGCCTCTAGTTGCACAGGTGACATGCTGGCAGATATTAGTTGAGACTTATTTCAGTTTCCCTGCAATAAAATCAGCGGCTACTATGAGCGCTGCCTCTGGATGAGCATTTGTAGAACCGTGTTTGTAGAACTCAATTTAATCTTGTCTTTACTAATAGGTCAAATTAGTTTCGATTTAGAATGGCCCATTATCAAATGGGCAGGAACAGGGGCAGGGGAAAAAAGGCATGTCATCCATATGCACTCCAATAGCGAATGGAGGCCACTTTCCTGCTGGTTCATTTTTCACTCATGTTGGGTAGGCTATTCCGGTTATTTCACTCCATGCATCAACCACTGTTTGAGGAGCATGCAGCCTCTCACCGGCAGTAGGTAATATTCCGCCCAAACTCTGTATGCCATGGGCTCTCCAACCCTGTTCCTGCAGCTACCCAGTGCTTAATTTGGGAAACCGAGTGAAATCTGTCCGGGAACATCAATAGTAACATGTTTTCACAACTTAACATTAAACTGTTGATAGCCCCTCTTTCTGCGCGCTTGAGAAAGGAATGAAGGAGAGAGGGGAGGAGATGGAAAGACACGGTGCTGAGATATTCTGTAGCTAAAAGTAATGTTTCAGCCTATTAACTATGAAAATATAAAAATGCCCTATTACTAGGCTATTCAAAATCAAATACAAATGCACTGTAGGCCTAATTTTAATAACTCTAAATTTGTTTTAATTTAGGCTACCAATTATGAACCAAAGAGATTATTATTATTTATTTTTATGTTTTTCTGCCTTGCTTAATATGTTTAGGCTATGTATTGTATAACATCACAATCATTATTTTAATTCAGGTTTTCTTTCCTACTTGGGCTCATATATAGGCCTATGCTTATGCATAAGCTCTAATATGCATATGGAGTTTTGAATTAATCATCACATTAGAAAGCCCTGTCCATGGCGCTGTGTTAGGCTTTGAAACAACATTCAAAACGACCATGTTTTCCACTCAGTTTCAACATGTTGTAGAATTTCTTTCTTCAAATTGATCTATCACAGTGAGGTGAGTTTTTTTTTTTTAAGCACATATTGTTTTGATGATAAGTGTTTGATGTGATTTTCGATTGCATTTTCATTCATGTCAAAGTGGTTAGAGGGACAGTAGAGCCCTGAGTGCCAGGCCATTAGTGACCTGATGATTGTTAGCAAATTGGATACTACTAACATGTGTCCAGAGTGCATAAGGGGAGATTAACGTGACTCAACGGTCACGTGGAATTTTACTGCGGTCATGACTCATGACTGCCAGTGTGGCGGTAATATGGTCACCGCAACAGCCATAGGAGGTGAGAGGTTTTGGAGGCATGATCTGTGTGCATCTGAAACTTTCTCACTCATCATTATTCATACATGATTATCCATTCATGTAGAAGTGTTCAGAAACATATTATATATTAACCCCCCCCCCTCAAATCGTTGGAGCATGGACTCTACAAGGTGTCAAAAGTGTCCCAGAGGGATGCTGAACCATGTTGACTTTAATGCATACTTTTGACTAAATGTAGTACACTTTCAAAAGGGGTGGACTAAATTAAAGTGCATTCATTTCTAAATGGTAAAACAGATATGTATGAAAATACCCTCAAATAAAAGGTGAAATTCTGTACTTTTGCCTCATATAAAACATTTGATCTCAAATCTAAAATGCTAGACTATAGAGACATTAAACGTTTTAGCTTCACTGTCCAAATAAATACATAGGGGAGTGCCTTCAGAAAGTATTCACACCCCTTGACTTTTTCCACATTTGGTTGTGTTACAAAAGTGGGATTAAAATTGATTTAATTGTCATTTTTGGTCAACGATTTACACAAAATACTGTCAAAGTGGAAGGAAAATTATAAATAATTGTTTAAATAAATGGAAAATAAAATACTAATATATCTCGATTAGACAAGACTCCTGAGGCAATGCATGTTAGAATCACCTTTGGCAGTGATTACAGCTGTGAGTCTTTCTGGGTAAGTCTCTAACAGCTTTACACACCTGGATTGTACAATATTTGCCCATTATTCTTAAAAAAATGTGTCAAGCTCTGTCAAGTTGGTTGTTGATCATTGCTAGACAGCCATTTTCAAGTCTTGCCATATATCTTCAAGCCAATTTAAGTCAAAAGTGTAACTAGGCCACTCGGGAACATTCAACGTCATCTTGGTAAGAAACTCTAGTGTATATTTGACCTTGTGTTTTAGGTTATTGTCCTGCTGGAAGGTGAATTTGTCTCCCAGTATCTGTTGGAAAGCAGACTGGACCAGGTTTTCCTCTAGGATTTTGCCTGTGCTTAGCTCCATTCCGTTTCTTTTTATCCTCAAACTCCCTAGTCCTTGTCGATTACAAGCATACCCATGGTCCTCTGTAGCTCAATTGGTAGAGCATGGCGCTTGTAACGCCAGGGTAGTGGGTTCGATCCCCGGGACCACCCATACGTAAAAATGTATGCACACATGACTGTAAATCGCTTTGGATAAAAGCGTCTGCTAAATGGCATATTATTATTATATTATAACATGATGCAGCCATCACTTTAAAAAAGAGTGGTACTCAGTGGTGTGTTGTTGGATTTGCCTCAAACATAACGCTTTGTATTCAGGACATAAAGTATATTTATTTTCCACATTTTTTGCAGTTTTACTTTAGTGCCTTATTACAAGCAGGATGCATGTTTTGGAATATTTGTATTCTGTACAAGCTCCCTTCTTTTCACTGTCATTTATGTTAGTATTGTGGAGTAACTACAATGTTGTTTAGTCATCCTCAGTTATCTCCTATCACAACTATTAAACTCTGTAACTGTTTTAAAATCACCATTGGCCTCATGGTGAAATCCTTCAGTGGTTTCCTTCCTCGCCGGCAACTGATTTAGGAAGGGTACCTGTATCTTTGTAGTGACTGGGTTTATTGATACACCATCCAAAGTGTAAAATTAATAACTGCACCATGCTCAAAGGGATATTCAATGTCTGTATGTTTTTTTATATACCCATCTACCAATAGGTGCCCTTTGCGAACCATAGGAAAACCTCCCTGGTATTTGTGGTTGAAACTGTGTGTTGAATTCACTGCTCGACTTAGGGACCTTACAGATCATTGTATGTGTGGGGTACAGAGATGGTGTAGTCATTTCAAAATAATGTTAAACACTAGTATTGGACACAGAGTGAGTCCATGCAACTTATTATGGGACTTATGGGACTTGTCCTGAAAAAGCCAAGGTATGTGAATACTTTCTGAAGGCACTGTATGTGGCTCTGAATGTTAATGCGCCAAATTGACTGTTCTCATGTGCACTGCTCTCTCTCTTCCCAGCTGATCTCTACCTTTCCCCACGACAATCATACAGCATTATTACAGGGTATGTAACTACTGCTACTGTGCTGAGTGAGATATGTTTATTAAAACATTCTCTCTTCCTCTTTCCTCCAGCTGATCACAGCTATCCCCACCCACCGCCTGAAGTTCCTAAAGGAGGCTGGCCACGGCACCCATAAGGAGGATGTCCCTGAAAACGAGATGAACGAGGGGGATGATGAGATCGACCATGCTGAGATGGAGCTCCGTAGGGGACAGGTCCTCTGGTTCAGGGGCCTCAACCGCATCCAGACTCAGGTACGCACTGGGGGTCCTCAACTACCATCACCTGCTTTCGCATTAGCATCCCCAGCCCCCCCCCCTCTCTCCTTCCTTTACTTCCAGTCCCCTCCAGGGGTTCCACAGGTATAGGAGGAGAAGAAGAGAGGAGAAGAACATCTATAAGGGGTTGATAGGATTGGATACTCCTCTCCCTCTCTCCCCCCCTCCCCCCCTCCCTCCCTTTCCCCCATCTCTCCCCGCCAGCATTCACAGGTAAAGACAAGAGCTACAGAAGATCTGCAATGCGATGAGAGGAAGGGATATACTTCCCCCTTGTCCTCCCTGTTGTTAGGAGCTTTAACCTGCTGTCTGTTCTCCAGGTGTAGTGGTCCTGTCAAACGGAAGAAGAAGACAACATGGTTCTTCACCATGACTGTCTTGATAACTGTCGTGCTGGTATTATGTGGTTGTTTCAGCCTCCTTGTTTAAATTCAGTCATTCTAAGTTAGCCTGGGTACCAGTCTGTTTAGCTAGCATTTCACTCCTTGTACTCTGTGTAATGTGCCAAAGATTTTGCAATGACACAGAGTACAAGGAGTGGAATGTTATCTGAACAGACTGGTACCCAGGCAAGTTCTAAGTCTCTCTGAAAGTTAAGAGTTTTTCTCTTGATAAGAGTTGTCTCTGAATAACTGGGTTGTAAATGTATTTTACTTTTGCCTCCTGTGAAGACAGACAGGTGTGTGTTTTCGTCTGAGGGAGACAGCCTGATTGCAACCTGACAATGGGACTGTGACACAGAGTCTGATGGCTGGGCTTTGATTTCCTGTCACAGTGTCACCTCTGTCTCTACTGTCTAACATGTCACCCCCTAGCTGGATAGCTCTCTAACTAAGTGATCCCTAAAATGGTGGATCGGGATCCAGATGGGTAATATCAGAAGGAGATCAGATACCAGGGGCTGAATGTATCAAGTGTTGCAGGGTAGTAACTGATCTAGGATCAGTTCTGCCTTTTCGATCACAATGAATAAGAATATATGGATAGAGGGGAGCTGATCCTGCATCAGCACTCCTACTCTGAGACGCTTTGTGAATATGGGCCCTGGGATGTAAGGTGTCAGTAGCTCTGGGCCCTCAGGGGTGGGGGAGTGGAAACCCTACCTGGTCACTTGTGACTCTGACACACTGGAGACCTGCCTGTAGCGATAGTCACTACCCACCAACACAACTAGACATATCTCTATATAATCTGATGGAGAGTTATAATGAATGACTCTCAGCCTCATACTAATACTGCTGTTGCTGCTACTGAGGCTTCTCTCTCTCTCTCTCTCTCTCTCTCTATTCAACTCTGTTTCACTGTCTTGGTGTACACAGCCTTAGGGTGTGTGATGGGAGATGGGGAGCAGAAACACACTTACTGCCTGTTGTGCACACACACACACACACACACACACACACACCATCGGCTTGCTTATATTTAGAGACTGTATTCAAATAGAGCTTTTCACCAGGTCTCCAATTGCTTTATGTAGTGGGACACACACACACACCCTTTAACTGCTGGGGGATTCCACAGGGTCTCCTTCGCTGTGGGTGCATAGGAAGGAGTGTTTTGTAGCTCTATCCCACACACATATACACGCCAGAGGTGGTCACATACATAGAAACCCCACCCGCAGCGCACACACACTGCCTGCAGCACACACACTGGACCACCACTGCTAAATTGTCTGTGTGTGTATATATACATTACCAGTCAAAAGTTTGGACACACCTACTCATTCAAGGGTTTTTCTTTATTTTTACAATTTTTTACATTGTAGAATAATAGTGAAGACATCAAAACTATGAAATAACACATATGGAATCATGTAGTAACCAAAAAACAAATCAAAATATACACTACCGTTCAAAAGTTTGGTCACTTAGACATTATTTTGTCCATTAAAATAACATCAAATTGATCAGAAATACAGTGTAGACATTGTTAATGTTGTAAATGGCTATTGTAGCTGGAAACAGCAGATTTTTTTTATGGAATATCTAAATAGATGTACAGAGGCCCATTATCAGCAACCATCAGTCCTGTGTTCCAATGGCACGTTGTGTTTGCTAATCCAAGTGTATCATTTTAAAAGGCTAATTGATCAGTAGAAAACCCTTTTGCAATTATTTTAGCACAGCTGAAAACTGTTGGGCTGATTTAAAGAAGCAATAAAACGGGCCTTCTTGAGACTAGTTGAGTATCTGCCGCATCAGCAATTGTGGGTTCGATTACAGAATCAAAATGGCCAGAAACAAATAACTTTCTTCTGAAACTCATCAGTCTATTCTTGTTCTGAGAAATGAAGGCTATTCCATGCGAGAAATTGCCAAGAAACTGAAGATCTCGTACAACGCTGTGTACTACTCCCTTCACAGAACAGCGCAAACTGGCTCTAACCAGATTAGAAAGAGGAGTGGGAGGCCCCGGTGCACAACTGAGCAAGAGGACAAATACATTAGTGTCTAGTTTGAGAAACAGATGCCTCACAGGTCCTCAACTGGCAGCTTCATTAAATAGTACCCGCAAAACACCAGTCTCAACGTCAACAGTGAAGAGGCAACTCCGGGATGCTTACCTTCTAGGCAGAGTTGCAAAGAAAAAGCCATATCTCAGACTGGCCAATAAAAAGAAAATATTAAGATGGGCAGTCTGAGATACAACTTTTTCTTTGCAACTCTGCCAAGAAGGTCAGCATCCTGGAGTCGCCTCTTTACTGTTGACGTTGAGACTAGTGTTTTGCGGGTACTATTTAATGAAGCTGCCAATAGCCTTCATTTCTCAGAACAAGAATAGACTGACAAGTTTCAGAAGTAAGTTATTTGTTTCTGGCCATTTTGAGCCTGTAATCGAACCCACAATTGCTGATGCTCCAGATACTCAACTAGTCTCAAGAAGGCCCGTTTTATTGCTTCTTTAATCAGCACAACAGTTTTCAGCTGTGCTAACATAATTGCAAAAGGGTTTTCTAATGATCAATTAGCCTTTTAAAATGATAAACTTGGATTAGCAAACACAACGTGCCATTGGAACACAGGACTGATGGTTGCTGATAATGGGCCTCTGTACGCCTATGTAGATATTCCATAAAAAATCAGCCGTTTCCAGCTACAATAGCCATTTACAACATTAACAATGTCTACACTGTATTTCTGATCAATTTGATGTTATTTTAATGGGCAAAACAATTGCTTTTCTTTCGAAAACAAGGACATTTCTAAGTCAACCCAAACTTTTGAACGGTAGTGTATACAGTTGAAGTTGGAAGTTTACATACACCTTAGCCAAATACATTTAAACTCAGTTTTTCACAATTACTGACATTTAATCCTAGTAAAAATTCCCTGTCTTAGGTCAGTTAGGGTCACCATTTTATTTTAAGAATGTGAAATGTCAGAATGTGTTAGAGAGGGATTTCTTTCAGCTTTTATTTATTTCATCACATTCCCAGTGGGTCAGAAGTTTACATACACTCAATTAGTATTTGGTAGCATTACCTTTAAATTGTTTAACTTGGGTCAAACGTTTCGGGTAACCTTCCACAAGCTTCCCACAATAAGTTGGGTGAATTTTGGCCCATTCCTCCTGACAGAGCTGGTGTAACTGAGTCAGGTTTGTAGGCCTCCTTGCTCGCACACGCTTTTTCAGTTCTGCCACAAATGTTCTATATGTTTGAGGTCAGGGCTTTGTGATGGCCACTCCACTACTTTGACTTTGTTGTCCTTAAGCCATTTTGCCACAACTTTGGAAGTATGCTTGGGGTCATTGTCCATTTGGAAGACCCATTTGCGACCAAGCTTTAACTTCCTGACTGATGTCTTGAGATGTTGCTTCAATATATCCACATACTTTTCCTTCCTCATGATGCCATCTATTTTGTGAAGTGCACCAGTCCCTCCTGCAGCAGAGCACCCCCGCAGCATGATGCTGCCACCCCCGTGCTTCACGGTTGGGATGGTGTTCTCTGGCTTGTTCTTTGGCCCCCTTTTTCCTCCAAACATAACGATGGTCATTATGGCCAAACAGTTCTATTTTTGTTTCATCAGACCAGAGGACATTTCTCCAAAAAGTACGATCTTTGTCCCCATGTGCAGTTGCAAACCGTAGTCTGTCTTTTTTATGGCGGTTTTGGAGCAGTGGCTTCTTCCTTGCTGAGCAGCCTTTCAGGTTATGTCAATATAGGACTAGTTTTACTGTGGATATAGATACTTTTGTACCTGTTTCCTCCAGCATCTTCACAAGGTTCTTTGCTGTTGTTCTGGCATTGATTTGCACTTTTCGCACCAGACCAGAGGACATTTCTCCAAAAAGTACGATCTTTGTCCCCATGTGCAGTTGCAAACCGTAGTCTGTCTTTTTTATGGCGGTTTTGGAGCAGTGGCTTCTTCCTTGCTGAGCAGCCTTTCAGGTTATGTCAATATAGGACTAGTTTTACTGTGGATATAGATACTTTTGTACCTGTTTCCTCCAGCATCTTCACAAGGTTCTTTGCTGTTGTTCTGGCATTGATTTGCACTTTTCGCACCAAAGTACGTTCATCTCTAGGAGACAGAACAAGTCTCCTTCCTGAGCGGTATGACGGCTGCGTGGTCCCATGGTGTTTATACTTGCGTACTATTGTTTGTACAGATGAACGTGGTACCTTCAGGCGTTTGGAATTTGCTCCCAAGGATGAACCAGACTTGTGGAGGTCTACAATTTTCATACTGAGGTCTTGGCTGATTTATTTTGATTTTCCCATGATGTCAAGCAAAGAGGCACTGAGTTTGAAGTTAGTCCTTGAAATACAGGTACATCTCCAATTGACTCAAATGATGTCAATTAGCCTATCAGAAGCTTCTAAAGCAATGACATCATTTTCTGGAATTTTCCAAGCTGTTTAAAGGCACAGTTAACTTAGTGTATGTAAACTTCTGACCCACTGGAATTGTGATACAGTGAATTATAAGTGAAATAATCTGTCTGTAAACAATCGTTGGAAAAATTACTTGTGCCATGCACAAAGTAGATGTCCTAACCGATTTGCCAAAACTATAGTTTGTTAACAAGAAATTTGTGGAGTGGTTGAAAAACGAGTTTTAATGACTCCAACCTAAGTGTATGTAAACCTCCGACTTCAACTGTATATGTATGTATGTATGTATGTATGTATGTATGTATGTATGTATGTATGTATGTATGTATGTATGTATGTATGTATGTATGTATGTATGTATGTATGTATGTATGTATGTATATATATATATATATATATTTGTGTGTGTGTGTATATATATTACATTTAATACATTTTGGGATGGTAAAACTTTTTCAGTGTAAAATTAAATGACTACAACCAGATATAAAGTATGTAGAAAAGATAGTGGACCTATATATTTATGAGATCATCTTTCAGAACTAACAACCACCAGAATAAAAACTACACAGTCAGGGAGAATCTGAAATTCCAAAACATTTCATGGAATGGGCCACTTTCATGTTTGAGGCACTCGGATAGCAGCATAAGCCATGGCAAATGTGTAGAATTGCAGGAAACTAGCTTTTAACTGTACAATTTCATCTTGGCCCCATGGCAAAATGTGTAGAATTGCAGGAAATGTGTTGCATGGGCCACCGCTGCACAAACAAATCCTAGGGGCAAGACTGATGGAGGAAGAAAGGAAGCTGAAGTCCATTGTGTCCATACCTACACACAGACACATACACACACACACACACACACAGCGCAGTAGAGCTAGCACCACTCCCATTCACTCTGCCCACCAGATTTCACAGCTACTCTTCCTGGGGTCCAGCCAAATTAAGGCAGTTATATACAATTAAAAACATTACAATACATTTCACAACAGATTTCACAGCACATTAAGTGTGTGCCCTCAGGCCACTACTCTACTATCACATATCTACAAACAGAATCCATGTGTGTATAGTGCGTATGTTATCATGTGTGCGTGTGTTTGTGCTTGTGTGTGTGTCTCTTCACAGTCCCCGCTGTTCCATAAGGTGTATTTTTATCTGTTTTTTTTAAATAGGATTTTACTGCTTGCATGAGTTACTTGATGTGGAATAGAGTTCCATGTAGCCATGGCTCTATCTAGTACTGTGCACCCCCCATAGTCTGTTCTGGACTTGGGGACTGTGAAGAGACCTCTGGTGGTATGTCTTGTGGGGTATGCTGTGTGCTAGTAGTTTAAACAGACAGCTCGGTGCATTCAACATGTCAATACTTCTCACAAATATAAGTAGAGATTAAGTCAATCTCTCCTACTTTGAGCCAGGAGAGATTTACATGCAAATTATTAATGTTAGCTCTCCATGTACATATATGGGCTGCCCTGTTCTGGGCCATTTGTACAGTAGTCCAGCTGCAACAAAACTAGGGCCTGTAGGACATGCCTTGTTGATAGCAATGTTACGAAAGCAGAGATGAGCTTTATTATGGACAGACCTCTCCCCATTTTAGCTACTGTTGCATCAATATGTTTTGACCATGACAGTTTACAATCCAGGGTTACTCCAAGCAGTTTAGTCTCCTCAACTTGCTCAATTTCCAAATTATTCATTACAAGATTTAGTTGAGGTTTAGGGTTTAGTGAATGATTTGTTCCAAATACATTGATTTTAGTCTTTGAAATGTTTAGAACTAACAGTAGAGAACATCGGGGTTTCTTTTTTAGTTGTTTTCTCAAAACAAACCTAAAAGGTGTTGGTGTTCCCCTTTAGAATACCACCTCTTCTCTCTCTATGTGTTTTAGAATGGCCCATTCTTCCTGACAATACATCAGCCAAATTGGGTCCTTTCTTCGGAGTGTGAGCGGGATTATTAGGCTGTGATGCTACAATAGAGTGGGCCTATGGAGACATTTCCAGAAGGCAAGCTTTGGTTCAGCAGTGCCGCTCTCTCCCCTCCTACAGGAGTGAGCTAGGGGCAATCGTAGCGCTAGCATGTCCAGAGGCTATTCCTCTGTGTTCCTATGGGCTTCATTAGCCTTCGCTAACGCTGAAACAACATACCTGCAGCAAGACCCCTGTAAGAGTGGGCGAAGGATGATTAGATTGTTGTTGTGTTATTTGGATGTAAACATATATGTCCCTCTTGTACAGTGGGTCAAAAATAATTCTGGCTTTTCCTAGATGGAGAGTCTTTCTCAGTCTGCCTTGGGGGTGCAGAGAGGGGGAGGTGGAGTGCTTTAACGTTCTTCTTTTTAACTCTTCCATTATCTACAGGGCTGTGGCAGACTCCAGTCCTATCTCTCTGGTGTCTCTCACTCACTCACTCACTCACTTCACTCACTCACTCACTCACTCCAGAAGTCTATACTGTTTGGGCACCCTGTAACTAACCTTCTACCCTCTTCTTCAACTGAAATATGCAACTCTCTCTCAAATATGTTTATCTCTTCTTGAATTAATTGATCTCTCTCTCTTCTCGTCCTTCTCTATCCCTCTGCTATTATACATTAACTGTAATCCTTTATGATGGAAAGACTCTCGATATGATTGACCAGAATAATAAATAAATATATGTTTTGTCTTTATATTATGTTAGAGGTATTTCATAGTATGTGTGTAGATTTAGAACTAAATAACAACATGTTTTACTGTTGACACATTTTCTTCATTTATTGGGATACAACGCCATAATTGGCACTTCTTATTCGTTGCTTCCAAGTTGGTTTCTGTGTCGTTCGCTCCGGATTTTAAATCCCATTCCGATGTTCCACTTCCTCAGCCCAATTTCCCTATTTATCACCCTCTTCCCCTCCTCTCTCATCCTCCCTTTCTCCCTCCATCACACTGATAAAGGAAGTTCTGAGAGGAGAAGCAGTAGAGCGTTCTCTTACTCTCTTTCTCCTGGGGAGGGAGAATAGAAGGATGGGAGAAAGGTGGGGGGGGGTGACGGAGAGAGGCAGTGAGGTAATTAGGTCCTTATCTCCCCTTCTGACTCCCCTCCCTCCCCTCTGTCTAATCCTGGTGGGCTGTGCGGTGCAGTTGTATGTGTGTCAGCACGGCTGGTTAGTCAAACACAACCAGGACATAATTGGCAAGAGGAGGACGACTTAGCACCAAACTTATCAGTGGCCTATAGGAACACTCTCTGTCTGCCATCTTCGTTTGTTTCCCTCCCTCGCTCCTGCCGGTGCCCTCAACCTTTCCTCTTGTCACAAAAATAATATTCCCCCTTTCATTCAGTGGCAGGCCTTCCAGTCCTCTCCCTCTCCATTCATCATCCCACTCTTCCTCCATCTCTCCAATCCCCCCCTTCTGTCCCTTCCAACTAACGAGTTGGGGATTTTCTCTATTTTTCAATAACCATTTTTTCTGCTCTGCCCATACAATGTTTCTTTCTGCTATCTTTCCCCTCCTCTCTCTCTTTTTTCTCTCCCTTTCTCTTTATCTCTCCCTCTCTCTCCCCTCTCTTCTTGCCCCTTCTCTCTTTCTTTCTCTCCCTACGTCTCTGTCTCTTCTGACTATGCTGTGGGCTGTTGTTTGCAGATGGACGTGGTCTATACATTCCAGACGGGTCAGGCTCCGGTCCCGGGGGCATTGAGACGCCAGCCCTCTGTGGTCAGCCAGCACAACGACGCCAAAACTGTCTCTAGCCCCACCCACGTAGGGCTTTCCTCTTCCTCCCTGTCTGCCAACTCTGCCGGGGCCCCGCCCCTTCCTGCAGCCGCCGCCGCTGCTTCCCCCTCCACTGCAGGCAGTGAGTGAGCGGTTGCAATAGCGACCCCTTAACAACAAGCTATCTTTTCTCTGCCGCCTCCTCCTCCTCCCTCTCCTCCAATCAGAATGCTGAATGCTGCATGACTGACTGACTGTTTGATTTCTTGATTGAATTGCTGACATGCCGTCATTACCCCAGCCACAGCCTGCCGATGCCTGCTGACTACTTCCTCTCTATGATTCTCTGTCTTTCTCTTTTTCTATGTCTGTTTCGTTCCCTTTCTCTGTCTTATTGTTTTATTTTCTCTCTCTCGCTCTCTCTCTTTCTTTCTCCTGCTCTTTCACATATTCTCTCCCCCTTCTATTGAACTCATTTACTTGCTGGCTACTACACAGACAGACCGTCCTGCATCCTCGATTCACTCTGCATCTCTCCTATGGCTTCCCCAGTGCATCGTGGGGGTTGGAGTTCTCCAAACTCCTAATATGATCTGCATGTATTAACACTGGTGAGACCTCGCCGTGAGACGAGATCAACCTAAAATCATTGGCAGGAAATACAAAGAGCCAAATCTGTCTCATTCCTGACTCTGAAAATCTCATCATCTGGAATCCTGACGTCCATTTTATTTCCCTGGCTGTGGTCGGTCCGGCAATACAGCGGCCTCGGTAGAGAGATAATTGGACAGGCTAATCTCACACAGGATATAATCTGAACAGGTTAAATCCCGCAGGCAGGCTCTAATCTGAGAGGCTGTTATCTGAGGCAGGGCCCAGGAGGTCTCACTAGGGTTAATAGCGAAGGGTTAAATGCATTTTGTAATAACTGTGCATCACTCCATTTCCTGAGCTGCCTCTGCACTTCTCTCTCTCTCTCTCTCTCTGTGTGTGTGTGTGTGTGTGTGTGGGGGGTAGTATTTTTCAGATTCTTCTTTTCTCGTTCCAGTGGCTACATATCAGAAAGCATGCCTTTTCCACCTTCTCTCCAACTGTTACTAAGGACACATAGGGCATCTTAAAGGGCTAGCCACAGTCACAGTTCATTGGCTGGTAGCTCAGCCATCTCCAGCTCTGAGAATACATGTGTGGAAAAGGAGAGAGTCAATGTATGACTTGAATGAGTGTGTGAGTGATTCTGTGTCAGACGTGATGTAGTCATTTGTGTGGTTAGTGTATAGAGTGTCCATTAGTTCTGGTGATGGTGTTGGACTGTTTTAGTAAGAGAGATGAGCTAAGGAGTGTGAGCTATGATAATCAGCTTCCTCTGTACGGATGAGAGGGACAGAGGGATGGGGGATGACCTTGCCCTTCACTAGGGGGAGAGACGGAGAGGTGAGAGGGGAGAAAAGGGGGAGGGGGACGTCATTCCTCACACCACGACACAGCACTGCCTCTCCCCCCCAGAGACACACACATGCCGTCTGCCAAGCAACAGAGTCCTGAGAGACACGCACACACACACACACACACACACACACACACACACACACACACACACACACACACCCTCAGAGGGCTGCAAGGAGATGGCTGACAGATGCTGCAGCTACTCCCTTCTCTCTCCTTCCCCCTTTCTCTAGTTCTCGCTCTCTATCCTCCAGTTGCCCCCTAACTCATATGTATGGATGATGCACTCTCGTTCTTTCTTCTCATCCCTCTCTCTTCTCCCTCTCTCTATGTCAGTCCACTATTCAGGGAGGACTTATGACTCAGTGTGTGTTTTTTAGTTTTTTTTAAAAAATTGGCTGGCAACCCCAGTGCTGACTTCTTCCTCCATGGCAGCCTCTGCATCTCACTCTGCTTTTTTCTCACTAAAAGGGATTCATGGGGAAGAAAGATAGCCGTATATTTCTACCACAGTTTGTTATGTAAAAAGGGTGATGGATGCCTGCGGTACACTGGTGTATCTTGGCAACCGCCAACAAGCTCACACGAGAGGCACGCAGAGATCAGATAGATATGAGAGGACTTAGAAACCTAGAGAAGTACACACAAAAGTAGACACACATGTTAGAGGACTTAAAACCCTGGGCTTAAAGAGGAAGTGTTGTAGAGACACTCGTCACACACTGAGGTTCTGGAGTGAAGGAAGAGGTGGTGCAGATAACGGATTTGCAAACCGAACTAAAGTCTCTGGAAAAAGTGTGAATATGATTAAAGAAATAAAAGATTATTAGGAGTGAAGAATATGGGAAATATCGAAGTATATGAAATAGGTCATGTAAGACTGAGAATACAAAGTGGAATTGAAATAGCTGTTATTTTTTCCATAACTCGTAGGAATTTGTATCAGCTTTAAGGCTCTCGGAGTGTTCAGCCAAGCTGTCACCTTTTACCTTTCACCCCTGACCCCTATCCCCAGTCTATGCACACATTTAGAGCTGCTGGAAGGTGGCCGTTTAACATGATCACTTCTTTTTGATCCAATTGCTGCAAGCCCTGATTCCCACCCTTTTCCTCTTTTTCTTATTAATGCCTTTCATTCTCTGTTTTCTCTCATACTATTCCCGATGTTTCACTCCTTCATCTCTAGTTCTGAATATGTTTTGCTTCTCTCACTCTGCAGTATATTTCCATCCTCTCCCACTCTTCTGTCTGTCTTTCCACTCCTCTGTCTCCCTCTCTTCTCCTCCCAGGACTCTCTCTATTCTGACTACAGGGTAACAATAACAGACCAAAGAGCAAAGGAGGGAATCCGACCAGTGGTATTCATCCTGGATTTACCATGTTTATTTGTGTGTGTCCGTGCGTGCATATGCGTGCGTACGTGTGTGTGACTATTTTCTTCCTGGCACGGAAATGGAGAAATGAAAATGGAAATACATTTTGTTAGACATCACAATGCTGTCTTAAACAAAGACACACACACACACAGCCAGAGAAGTCTGCCTGAAATAAGAATTTAATTATCAAGACTCAACACAGAGACAGAGATTGCTGATTGAATAGTCTGTAGAGATGAGGCCCACATACAGTCCACCAAAGTGGAGCTCATTTCTCATCATAATCAGCCGCATCATGCCAGAGAACGCTGTGGAAATGCTTAGATTTGACCCTTTTTCAATTTTTCTTAGTTGTCTCTCTCTCTCTCTCTCTCATACACACACACTTAGTCCCTCTGCCAGCCAGCGGTGCTCATTTTCACACCTCTGATGTATAGGGTCATCCTCTGTAGCTCAGCTGGTAGAGCACGGTGCTTGTAACGCCATGGTAGTGGGTTCGATCCCCGGGACCACCCATACACAAAAATGTATGCACACATGACTGTAAGTCGCTTTGGATAAAAGTGTCTGCTAAATGGCATATTATATCATATTATATTATAGGTGCCTGCACAGTCATCTCTCTCTCTCTCTGTAACACGCTGTGTTCTCCTCCTGGGCCTGACTGAGAGCTGAGGGCCTGTAGCAGAACGCATGTCAGCTCTTCTTAACCACTCCTGTCTGGCTGACATCTTACCCCTGTCTGGCTGACATCTTACCCCTGTCTGGCTGACGTCTTACCCCTGTCTGGCTGACGTCTTACCCCTGTCTGGCTGACGTCTTACCCCTGTCTGGCTGACGTCTTACCCCTGTCTGGCTGACGTCTTACCCCTGTCTGGCTGACGTCTTACCCCTGCCTGGCTGACATCTTACCCCTGCCTGGCTGACATCTTACCCCTGTCTGGCTGACATCTTACCCCTGTCTGGCTGACATCTTACCCCTGCCTGGCTGACGTCTTACCCCTGTCTGGCTGACATCTTACCCCTGTCTGGCTGACGTCTTACCCCTGTCTGGCTGACGTCTTACCCCTGTCTGGCTGACATCTTACCCCTGTCTGGCTGACGTCTTACCCCTGTCTGGCTGACGTCTTACCCCTGTCTGGCTGACATCTTACCCCTGTCTGTCTGACACACCTGACTTGGAGATGTATGGAGAGGCCATCCGCTAGGCTGTAAATGTCCTACACATTCATCAGAGTAGTTGTTTTGGTCTAACACATGACGCGTCAGCCTCCAGTAGATGGTGAGGTGGGAGGATAGATATAGACAAGTAGGTAGAGAGAAATTGTGTTTGCTCACGTTGTGGTGTAGTTCAGGTTATAATCTAGCTAGGTGATTGTAGGGAGTGTTGAGTACCATCAGCTTCAGTAGTGTATGCAAGTGTGTTTGTGTGTTAAAGGCTGAGTGTGTACTGTACTTGTGTGTGTGTGTGTGTGTGTGTGTGTGTGTGTGTGTGTGTTTTCTTTCCATTGCAGCATGAACCTTTCATGCCCCTTTTTCTCTTCTATTTATCCTTACTCATTGTCTTCCCCTCTCTACATCTCCTCTCTTCCTCCCTCCCGCTACCAACATCTTCTTATCGTCTCTCTCTTCCTTCACTTTCCCTCACCACACTCCCGTCTTTCACACCAAATAGCCCACTCATCTTTGGTCGTCAACCAAGGAGCCCAACAAACAACTCCCTCCATCCCTTTATTCATTGAAGAACATTGAGATGCTGCCAGCTAGCTGTACTGTTTTGTAGCTGTGTGTAGGCTGGTGTGTTGGTGTGCATCCTAGCGTCACAGTGATAAGAGACTGCAGCTTGTAGCCTCAGATAGCACTGTACTGTATGTGTCAGTGTGTTTGGGGGTGGGGGGGTGTTGTAGAATTAAGTAGCTGTGTGGTTGTGTTCCTGATGCTTGCTCAATATCCGTACATCGTCATCATCAAGTGTTCCCACCATGTAAATTGGTATTTGTTTAGTTTTTAGTTTTTCTGCAGTGCTCCTTAATTCGTATTGTACTGTATTTTTGTGTTAACATTTTGATTTTGTGCTCTATTTGTTTTGTAGTGGTCATTCTCTATTTTCCACTCACCCATCTCAGCCCTTATGTACTGTATTGTAGTGGACTGGAGGTTTTTTGTGTGTATAATTTGGGGGTTGTGTGTCTTCCTTTTGCTTGCGGTTTGATTTAATGATCGGGCGAGTGATCGAGACTGCAAAGAGCGACCATGACATTCCAGAATCCTTCACTTCTCACCTCTCACTGACCACATTTTGTCCCCCCAGCAGATTACCCATAAGCCCCTGCCTGTCTGCCTGACTCCTCTCATCACCATCAACACAGGAAGACCAAGCCAGGACCCTCATACTAACTTCTCTTTTTATTTATCTCTCTCCCTCTCCTCCTCCTTTCTCTCTATCTTTCCCTCTTTCTCCCTTTCTCTCTTTCTCTCCGTCTCCCCCCACCCCCCCCCCTCTCTCTCTCCCCCCATATGTCTCCCTCTCTCTATCTCACCCCCCTCTCTCTCTCTTCTGTCTCTCTAAAAGATTAAGGTGGTCAATGCGTTCCGTAGCTCCCTTTACCCGGGGCTAGAGAACCCAGAATCCAGAAACTCCATCCATAACTTCATGGCCCACCCTGAGTTTGTCCCCCTGTCTGAGGAGGAGGCGCAGATCCCTGAGAGAGAGGAGTCCAGCAGCGATGAGGTGGTAATGGAGATCCAGCCCATCCCCAGCTCCTCGACTGGGGGGGCAGAAGCTCCAGACGTCAGCCACGAGACCTCCTGCTGACCACCACCTCCTCTCTCTTCTCCTCCGCTCTGATCTGTCCATCCACCCCTGTCGGCCAGCTGGCTTCCCCCCTGCAGTTCCTCTCCTCCACCAGCGGTGCGCCCCTTAGATCCTCAGACTCATCCCACAGAGGGTGCACCCAGAGCGGGCAAGGGGTCCCGGTCCCAGCGCCTCCCCCTCTTCACCACCTGTTCCCTCCACTTCCTGAACCCTACACCCACCTCTCACCTGACCACCCCACCTTGCCATTCCCATCGGCTTGCACTGACTGTGTCGCGTGTGCCCTTTAAGTCTGTGCAGAAGAGTGACATGCAGAGCATCCAATCACATTGTGCCCCTAACTCATGGGTGGGAGGGACCATTTGGGGTCCACCAATCTGCTCCGTCGAAGGCCGTAGCCTGTCCTTCTGTCCATCTTTTGGGTTTTATATCAGTTTTTTTGTCCTGTAACCTTTTATTGTTTTTTTGTTTTCTTACCTCAGAGTAGCCCAGAACTGAAATGCAACATGTTTATCCTTCTGTACTAGCTTATTATACTCTGCATACACTAACTGGCACAGAACTTTAAGAATACACCCATGTGTACATTAATATTGTATTTACATATAGTGGGCTCCAAAATTACTGGCACCCCTGACTGGCAATGCACAAACAATACTTAAAAAATACAAACAATATAATTATAGAGAAACTCAAAATACCAACGTGAGAAATACTGTACTATATTAATGTTCCAATGGAACCCACCAAAATAATGTATTAATTTAATTAAAAATCAATGTCCTCCAAATCAAGGTTTCACAATTAATGGCACCCTTAAAGATTATTGTAAATAACATCTACCAAAATTAAACCAGGAATTAAATTCCACTTATTTAAGTTTATCTAAGTCTTAAGGAACTATATTGAGCCATTTCACTAGGGTATAAAAATGAGGTAACATGCATGCAATATCCCTTTGTCATCCAACATCATGAAGAAAACAAAAGAACTGGCAGGTCAAAAGAGAGAGATGGTCGTAGACCTTCATAAATCTGGTAATGGCTGCAAGAAGATCCACAAACGATTGAATATACCACTGAGCACTGTCAGGGCAATTATTAAAACATTTAAAAGATATGGAACAGTTGAAAACCTCACGGGTAGAGGACGCAAATGCATTTTGCCCCCCAGGATAGGGAGGAGGATGGTGAGAGAAGCAACAAAATCCCCAAGAATCACTGTGAAAGAATTGCAGGCCTTGGTGGAGTCTTGGGGTCACCAGGTTTCAAAAAGCACCATCAGACGCCACCTACACAACCACAGGCTCTTTGGAAGGGTTGCCAGAAGAAAGCCCTTTCTGACCCCAAAACACAGACGCAAGTGCTTAGAGTTTGCCAAACGTCATTTAAATTATGACTGAAAGAAGTTGCTCTGGTCAGATGAGACCAAAATTGAACATTTTGGTCAGATACAGCATCGGCATGTTTGGCGTCGAAACAGAGATGCATACACGGTGAAATATGGTGGTGGGACAGTGATGTTTTGGGGCTGTTTTAATTCCTGAGGTCCAGGGGCACTGGTTAAGATTGATGGCATAATGAATTCCACCATGTATCAGGCAATTTTGGCTGACAATCTGGTTGTCTCTGCCAGAAGACAATGACCCAAAACATACCTCAAGATCCACACAGAAATGGTTCTGTGACAACAAAATCAATGTTCCGCCATGGCCATCTCAGTCGCCGGACCTCAGTCCAATCGAAAATCTGTGGGCTGAGCTGAAGAGGGCAGTTGATAAACGCAAACCCAAAAATGTGAAGGATCTTGAAAGGATCTGCGTAGAGGAATGGTCCAAAATCCCTCCAAATGTGTTCCTTAACCTTGTCAAATATTACAGGAAAAGACTCCATGCTGTTATCCTTGCCAGAGGTGGTTGCACTAAGTACTAAATGAGGAGTGCCAATAATTATGAAACCTTGATTTTGGTGACATTTATTTTGTATTAAATAATTATATGATTTTGGTTGGTGCCATTGAAACATTAATAAAGTACAGTATTTCTCACATGTTGGTATTTTGAGTTTATCTCTATATTTTAAGTATTGTTTGTGCATTGCCAGTCGGGGGTGCCAGTAATTTTGGAGCCCACTGTACATGTAACTGCCAAAATAAAGAAAGCACTTAAGTGATGGATACAAAGTGTATTGAAAGCAGGTGCTTCAATACATTTTAGTCATTTAGCAGACGCTCTTATCCAGAGCGACTTAGTTAGTGAGTGCATACATTTTCATACTGGCCCCCCGTGGGAAAACGAACCCACAACCCTGGCGTTGCTAAAGCCATGCTCTACCAACTGAGCTACACGGGACCACACAGATGTGGTTCCTGAGCTAATTAAGCAATTAACATCCCATCATGCTTAGGGTCATGTATACAAATACCCAGTTGCCCATTATTTTGGCTACCATGGTTAGAAGAAGAGGTCTCAAAGGAACATAGGGCGTTTAAAGTGTGTGTGTGTGCGTCTCAGTCACCAGATCTCAACCCAATTGAACACTTATGGGAGATTATGGAGCGGCACCTGAGACAGCATTTTCCACCACCATGAACAAAACACCAAATGATGGAATTGCACGTGGAAGAATGGTGTCGCATCCCTCCAATAGAGTTCAAGACACTTGTAGAATCTATGCCAAGGCGCATTTAAGCTGTTGTGGCAGCTCGTGGTGGCCCAACGCCCGATTTAAGACACTTTATCTTGGTGTTTCCTTTATTTTGGCAGTTACCTGTATATATGCTTTATAGGCTCAACACAGATCCAAGCTGATTGGATGATCAGATGTACATGGCCCATGTGATTAACAGCTTTCAGCTACTAAGTTTCTCCTCTCCATTTCTCAATCTGTGTTTTAACTGTACAGCATGTATGCATTTGATCTGTTTTGAAACAAGATGTACTGATGGGTTATTCAGTTCAATGGAGGAAACCATGTCTTCATTAATTCTGATACACTACAGCTTTTCAATGATGAAGTTTCAATCATCTAAACATCTCTCACTTTCATTTGGTTCTTCTGGGTCCATTTGACATCATGATTCCATTATGATTTATCCTGTTTTAATGGAAGGACAGTGTAAAGGATGCTAGGATATGTTAACAGAAAAGTGAATTCTCTTAAAACAACACAGGCAGCTGGCTAGTGCCAGAGGGCAAAAAAAAGGGGAACGGGGCATCTCATCCTTATCTCATCCAAGCAGGGTTCTGGTTTTCCCTAGCCCGTTGAGAGTAAGTTGACAGCTTATGATACTGCCTCAATATGGAGTAAGATTAAGAACGTCAGTGAAGTGAATGATATTTCACCCCCGTCTCTTGTATGCATGACGTATATTATCTATGTATATGTTTCATCTGTGTTGAGTAGAATGGGAATTTATAGATGGTTTTGCAAGACATTATTTGGGGGGGTTAGGACGTACGTATTCCTGTGTATAAGACAGCAATGGGTCATTGTTTTTTCTTTAGTCTGTCGCCAAAAAAAGATCCACACAAATAATCCACACAAATACATTCTCTGTACCTTAACAAGACTAATCTAGTCTTTTGTTTTCCACTGTTGACAAAGGGCCGTTGGACTTGTGCCTGTTAGCTCCAGTGTGAGTGTGTTATGTTGTTATCGAGCATCACTGTATCGGCTGCAGAGTGACACAGGGGACTATTGATCTCTCCCACCATGCCTCTGGGAGAACCAACCATGAGCGGCCCAGATATAAATCCAATATCTCCCCCTCCCTCCTCACCCCGCCCTGCTCCCTCACACCCTCCCTCCCTCTGGGCTGCTAGGATAGGGACACAGCACATCCCCACATGTCCTCTAGGGTCAACCAACCACAGATAATGGCATAACAATAAGAGGAATAGTCTTAACAAGAAGAAAAAAATACTCAACCAGAGATGTGTATGAGAGCTCCTGTATTCAGTAGTGTATGTCATTGTAAGAGGCGTCATGCCCATAGGGGGCACAGGAGCACGTGCTCCCTCAGATTTGTCATGTTTAAAAGATACATATTTTTGGGGGTCTTTTTTTTCTCTGTAATACTAATAGGCACCTAGACATTTTATATAACTAGCTACCAAGAAACCATTTCAGGCTATCAATCAAGTTAGAGTAGCTAGCTTGTCTAACTCTTAGCTGGCATGCCTGCTGGCAAGGTTGGTAGACTTTAGAAAAGCAAGCAATAACTAAATGTACTGAATAAGACTCACATTCCTTTCAAGCTTTTACCCAGATTTTAGCAGGGATGCAGAGAAGCATATTTAGTTTCTTTATAAAAAGAACCACCAGTCAGGAGGATACAGACAGCTCAAAAGGTTTGCTTTGATATTCAGAAAGATTGACATATTTTACATAGAATTAAACATAATGATTATGACTCTAGATTGCAGAATAAAGCAGCTTCAGGTGTTTGAAAAATGCAAAATTCTCCAACTTGCACCCCTCCGGACCACACCCCAACCATCCTCACGTACTTTGTGCCCCCTAAGATTTTTGGAGTACATAACGCCCCTGGTCGTTGTTGTATATGATGGTAGAGGGAGTGTAAACTTGGGCTGACCCCCTTTCCCGCCTCCGGCCACCAACTCTGTGACAGAGATTGTGACGCCCTCGACAGGACGTGTGCTATCGATTACCAGTAATGTACTACTGCCATATTTTCAACCTTATTTTCATATCTAGGTTGCTTACTTCGATAGAACCCTCTGATGATACGCCTTTTCTACTTACTCAGAGCCATATTTTATAGGTTGTCGTTGTTGTTTTGTATCCCATCGTTATTGAGGTTTCCTTTCTATTCCCCCTGACCAAAAAACAAAGACAAACAATGTGTCACTGCCGATACAATATATAAGTCAAGGACCACTACGATGTTTACAGAACAGAGTCAGTCTGATGCAGTAAGCCTGCTCGAGCTGCACTACACTCAACTGGCTAGTCTCCTTCATTCCCTTGCTTTCGTGA